TTTGCAAATTAGCAGACAAATATAGCAGCCCCAAACCCATTCTTTGTGAACTGAATCATCAAACCCTTGACCCTTGTTAACGGGTTTTTGAAAAAAAAAAAAAGCATGGCTTAAGTGGACTAAATAATTGGAGAAGTTTGATGTTTCACAGAAAGATCATGATGAATTTATTACAGTTTTTCACATAATTAATCATTTTGACAGTGATGTCATGCTAAATTTCTCCAAATCTGTTCCCATGAAGAAACAAACTCTTCTACATATTAGATGGCCTAAGGCAGAGTTATTTTCAGCAAACTATTCTTTTAAAGGGGTAATATGATGTTGCTAAAAAGAACACTATTTGGTGTATTTGGTGTAATGCAATGTGTTTATGCAGTTTAAGGTTCAAAAACACATTATTTTCCACATGCTGTACATTATTGTTGCTCCTCTATGCCCCGCCTTTCTAAAATGGGTCGATTTTTACAAAGCTCATCGGTCTGAAAAGCAAGGTGTGCTCTGATTGGCCAGCTATACAGTGCGTTGTGATTGGCTGAATACCTCAAGCATGTGACTATAAAGCCCCACTTTATAGAAACAACCTTTGTGCACAGCATTGCAAGCTACGCTCCCAGGTTCAGGAAGCGGTTCTCCATAAAATGCGCTGCACACATCTGAATATTTGCGTTGAACTGTTCTGTTGTAAATACAACTGATACACTGATTTTTAGTTGTGTCCTCTTTTGGAAGGTGTGACGACCCCTGTCGTTACTTTGTGGAATGGCTGTAGGAGTCCATGGACTAACTACAACATTTTGCCGTGTATTTGAATTCGAGTGTCCCTATTGTGATATACACGGATCATAATCCACTGACTTTTCTGAATTCTTTACAGTGTCCAAATCAGCGGCTGATTCGGTGGTCTCTGTTTTTGCAGTCGTTCTGCCTGGATATTCAACATGTCCGAGGTTCAGCAAACGTGGTAGCCGATATTCAGAGCTACCCGTTTGGTTCGCGTGTGTCCTGTTTGTTGCTTCCCTTGAGCCATGGGTCGTAACAAAGGCCAAACAAAGTAGTTTCGCTTTCACAACGAAACACACAGCATCTCCACGACATGGCGGCGGAGGCAACAATACTACAGCAAGAATAAAAGTTACGCCGCCTTTCTTTGCGTGAACATTTGGGCGGTGTTATGCAAATCTTCCCACACAGTGACGTAGACATTGAAACGAGGCGTTTTAGGAGGGTGTGGACGAGTCAACTTTTTAAAGAATATCTCTTTAGGTTTGAGACTTTAGTCTTTGCAATTTTAGGGATCTTATTTATGCACAAACAGCTTGTAACACCCCAAAGAGAAAGGAAAACCTGAAATTGCATCATATGACCCCTTTAAAATTTTAAGTTAAACAAAACTTAAAAAGGAAACATGCATGGATAAACCATTCACAATAGGATGCATTTAGAAAAGATAGGTTATTTTCATTCAATTTCATACTGACATGAACTTTTATTCATCATAGCTACTTTATTTTTTCACAAATGCACCAAAGAGAGCTAAGGAGGGTGTTAAGTTTTGTTATTCACTGAATAACAACTTAAAGTTCAGTCTGTTCCTCACTCAAAGCTATCATATGACTTCAGAAGACTTGAACATGGATTGTATGGAACACTTTTAAGGTGTTTTTTTGTCATTTTGGAGCTTGGCAGTTTCAGTGCTCATTATATTGAAAAGTGGCAAGATATTCTCCAACGATTTACATTTTGTGCTCCACTTAAGAAATTCATACAAGGTTGGAATGACATGAGGGTGAGTAAATAATGACTGAATTCTCATTTTTGGATGAGCCAGTCATTTAACTGTTCCCACTGCATCGTATTCAACAAAACAATGGAAATAATGCTTAGAGTAAACTTCATAATTTCAAAAATAATTAAAAGTGAAAGAAAAAAGGGGGAGATAAAATCATAATAAATACAATCATAACTTTTCCATTTCTCCTGCCACAGCAGATTGAGATTGAGGTTCATTAAGTGTCTATACGAAAACAGATTTTCATTTTAATTGGAATTCCGATGTCTCAGTGTGCGAGTACTATCCCATCAATTACAGATCCCAGCAGTGTGCAGGAGTCTTCTGTACACACAATGCTCTCGCTTTCCCCGGCACCCTCTTAATCACACGCACACTCAAAGGCTGCAGTCGGGCAGAGGGGTGGGATGCTTTTTCCGTGCTCTTCCAGCGGCAGCCTGTTCAGATCGTGTCCTCTGGGGGAGCCAAACAAATCTGACAGGGGATCATGGCCATAAATGAGGGCTGTAATTAAACAGCTTTATCTCTCAGGCTCAGACGGGAAACAAGCGGAGAAAGGAGAGAGAGCGGGATGTGAGACCGAACAGTCACACGTCTCGCTCCGTGCCTGGCTTTCAACGATGCTCTGCTTGTATGGTGGGAGAAAGGAAGACCTGATCATCTACGTCAACTGACTCATGTCTCATGGAGGGTCATAGCGTATATATATTTAAATAAAAATGTTTGCAAGGACCTACAAACACCATCATTCATCCTTTCTTCATTTTCAGCTTCTAGCAAGTAAAGTGACTCATCTAATGGGTGGACAGAAAGCAGAAGAAGTGAGAGGGGAGGCAGGGAGCTCTTCAGAAAACGTTATGAGTGGTTCTCGGAAACAATTTCTTTTCAGTGAACAAGAAAAATATCTTAGAATCCCCACAAACTGCGTTCAACAACATTTCCATAACAGGCTTCTGAAACTGCATTCTGAGTTGTTAATGAGTGTTTGTTTTCCTGTTGATGACAGAACTGAGGTTAAAAATCATTATTTTAAATTGCAGACAGCAAACTGATCTTTTCATTTTTAACTTCACTATGAAAGACAAACCTGAACCCAAAGCCGTGATCCTTTACAGCAGAGTGTGTTTTATTTCTTTGGATTTTTTTTTGGAGATGAAGGTACATAAATTGGAGTACTTCTTGAAAAAGTTTAAAAGCACCTTTTTTTCCTCAGATGAGGGTCACAAGCAGCATAGTGATTGCAGAGATATCGATCTGTTTCCATAAGGCGTCTCATTCACGGACGTCTTTAAGGGTTCTCATTATCAAAGACACAAAATCATCTGTGTTTGTCAAAGAGATGCTTTTGCAACCTAATGGACTCTAATAGGTTATTCATTAATGATCTATTATAATATCAGTAATTGTATTTCCCGTTCATCATCTGCCTAATCCATTTTCTAAATATCAATTTCTGATATTTAAGCACTAATGTGTCTCCTCAGTTTATTAGCATATGGCTTCACATTTCTTAAAGAAACATATCATGCAAAGTATTTACTCACTCTTATTTCCTTTCAAACCTGTATGAATTTCTTTCTTCTGTAGAATGTAAAATCTGATATTCTGAAGAACACCTTTGGACATTGGAGTAAATAATGACAGAATATTCAAGTTGAGGTGAACTTTAAAGGGGTGGTTGATTGCGATTTAACTTTTTTAACGTTAGTTAGTGTACAATGTTGCTGTCTGAACATAAACAATATCTGCACAGTTGCAAAGCTGAAAGTTATCGTCTTTTAAACGGAGATATCGTCTTTTAAAATTTTGGTAGTTTAATGCCTACAAAAACGGCTGGTAGGGACTACAAAGAGCTACTTCCCGGGTTTGTGACATCACAAACCTAGATAAACCCCGCCCTCGGGAAAAGACAGCAAAGGGGGCGAGGCCATGCTGTGCTGCTTTAGAGAAGGGGAAGAGAAAACTAGAGGTGCACATAAAAATGTATTCATATATGAATCGTGATTCTGTCTTCTAACGATTCTAATGGATTCACAAGTTTCAAAATCAATGTTCTAAAGCAGCGGTTCTTAATACTGTTCCTTGTGTGCCCCTGCTCTGCACATGCTCTGCAGCTCTCTCTCTCTCATTCAGCTCAGCTCCAACAATGTACTGTTACAATCAGGGTTTGAAATTAACATCCGCCAACCTGCCAAATGCGGGTAAAAATCAGCTGTGGCGGGTAACACTGTCAAGTCAATTTGTTATTAAATTACAGCCCACGCAAAACTGCAAAAAGCAAGTACTCCAAAAGTGTGAAGCGGCGCTACCAGGTGCATCCGCCAGCCGCACGTTAAAGCAGAGCGAGATCAGTCTCCCGCACAACGCTGTGCTTCCGCCATGATTTATAAGAGATAAACAGCACAAATCGCTCGATCCATTCAGAAATGACACAGAATTGTGTTATACAGTTGTGTGATATGACAACATTAAAGGTTCTACCTGAAAACAGACAAGGTAAAATGCATGTAAACAAACTGCAATGTAAACAAACTTTAATAGCTTATTTCTCTCTAAACGTTTCATTCTAATTCATTTTAATTTACGTAAAATGTTAATTCAGTAAGATAAAAATCAGTGTCTCTGTAATTTAGAGACACTTATAAATGAGGTGTTTTCCATTTACAAATAGTATAAAGTTCTTAAAGGGATAGTTCACCTAAAAATTTAAACTGTCATAATTTAGGCTACTCAGCATCATGTCATTCCAAACCTGTATGACTTTCTTTCTTCTGTGGAACATAAAAGACGATATTTTGAGAAATTCAAGAAATGTCTGTCCATACAGTAGAAATCAAGGGTAACCAAAATGGTTTGGTAACATTCTACAAAATATCTTTTGTGTTTTACAGAAGAAAGTAAGTCATACAGGTTTGGAAAGACATGAGGGTGAGGAAAGGATGACAGCATTTATTAGCAGTAAATCAATCAATGCTTATACTGTCAAGTGCATTTCTATGTGACACAAATGCAGAAGGCTATTAGTTTGTTGTATTTGCTGTGAATTCAGTAATATATCATTATTGTTTTTGTCCTCATTTATTTATTTATTTATTTACTTACTTCAATTGAAGGCCCTATAACACAGTAAAACATTTACAGGGGAACTTGAGGGCCGGATAGGCTGGATTTGTCCAGGGCCGAATTTTAACCCCAGTCCAGCCCTGTACCTGCCCCTACGCAACAAATAATGGCGTGGCGGGCGCACTGGTTTCCTTTGCATTGAAGCAATAACGAAAAGTCAAAAAATGCCTGAAGACTCGCACCGTGTCTACACCAGATGCGACAAAATACTATAGAACCCATTATAATCGGTGATGCGGCCTACACTGGATGTGGCACAGCACAGCACAGCACGACAAACCCCAGACAGTAAACTGATGCCTCGTTCTATTTGTGACGTAGGCCTACTGTTTTACAAAGTACAAATGATTTGCAATGGTCACTTTGTCGCATCCAGTGTGGACAGCCTCAAGCTGTTGGCTTACCTCCAGCCTTTTTTATTATTTATTTGTTAAATAAATGAATGGCCGGTAACTTAAAAATTTAGTAGTCAAATTGGCTGGTGAGTGAAAAAGTTAATTTCAAACCCTGGTTACAATTATACACTTATTTTCACATAGCTATGAGAAGCGTTAAACATGGATGTGCGTGCAGTTGCCGTACTGTATTAAAGCTTTAATCAGGATAAAAACGTATATTAAAAGCTAACATAAGCAGTAGCATTTACAAATAACAGCATATCTAAAAGTATGAGACAACAACAAACAAAAAACATAGACCTACCAAAGCTGTGCTTGCACAGGTTCTGCACGATCCTCTACAATAATATCCTCTGCTTCTCAATCGGGCTCAAACTGATAAGCGATATTAATGATGGCGTTGTTTACAATACAACCGGAGCACTTGCTGCTGAGGTGAGGGGCGGGCCGTTTAGACGTGCACTAGAGGCGGTTTAGCCAATCACAACACACTGGGCTAGCTAACCAATCAGAGCCCATCACCTATTTCTTAGGGCGGGGCTTCATAAAAGCATGAAATGATCAGCACGTTTCTCAGAGAAGGAACAGAGCAGTGTGGAATAAAGGTAAATTATGTGAAAAATATATTTTTTTAAAACAAAGCATTAACACATGTTAGACTCTACCCCATAAACACAATCAAGCCTAGAAAAAAAACAGTGAACCACCCCTTTAAAGGAATAGTGCCAAATAAAATTCTGCCATTTACTTATCCTTGGAACCCGGTTAAACTAATGCAAGCACAACAATCAAATGGCTTGATCATCACAGATGAACTGGTGTCCAAAACTTGGTGTTGCTGCATTATGTGCATATTCACATCCCAAACAAAAGGTCATTGATTATAGAATAGGAGCTATGGGTCACCGAGAACCATCTTTGACAATGAGGTGACTGAGCTACATTATCATATAGACCTTAACTTTTAGAGTTCTTGATTTGCATCAGGAACACAACTTCATTTACATTGTGGGTGTTTTTACAGACTGCATAAAATATTTGGGTTTGAAATGTTTAGTCTGACTGAATTCAAAGTATTTGTCAGTGCTAGACTGTGATAAAGACCTCAAGAGTGACCTTACACCGCTGTGGCATTCTAAAACTGTATTACTTTGTTTCTGTGGAACACAAAAAGCGATGTTTGGAATTTATATATGCAGCTTTTTCCAATACATTAAAAAATAGTAATGATAGCTTTTTCGAGTTTCAAAAAGGCCATTAAAGTACACTGCCCTGCACCACATTTGCATCCAATACTTGTTTCTTACTAATTTTGGGGTGCCATAATTCCAAAAATATCTGTTTTGCTCAAACATGTCACACTTTCTCACAAAAAATGATGTGCATTTCATAGCATTTTTACTTTAGACAACCATTTGAAAGGTAAAAAGGCTTGTATTATCAACAGAAAACTGCCACAAAGACATGACTGTTTGTTTAATTCTCAGCCGATTTTCACATGTACAGATAATAATGAAGACATTTCCACTTGTTCCATTTTCTGTCATTTTCAAAGCTTAACATCCTTCAGACATCTCTTTTTGTGTTTCAATAGAAGACACAAAGTAATACAGGTCTGAAACAGGGCAAGTACGTAAATTAATTTTTGATCGAACTGTTCCTTTAAGGCTGGATTAGACACAAGGAATCAAGGAGGCCAACAGTCACACATGCTGACCCGTGCCAGATCTCAACCTTGTAACGCCACAAGAGGAAAAACAGCAAAGATTAAGAATTCATAGAGCACTGAAGACGCTTATTGCCTCACAGGAGCAGGCCGGTGTTATTGCAAAGCCCTTAGGACTTAAAAGTTTCCATCAAAACAAATGGATAAAGCATACAAAGCTCCATAACACTTTTTCATGAGCTCTTTGGGAGAGAGAATAACCAATAAAATTATGCCTACAGCAAGACAAAGCAAAACAACCAAAACACATATGTATATGGTCTTTGCTGGTATAGTATTAGAGCTGCCCGAATGGCCTGTGATATTTTTTTTGATTATATTTCAGGGAAAGACACTTCTTGAAGTGTGGGGTTAATCAATATGCCCGTATTGATTCAGAAACCTGGTAGAGTCCTTAAAGCAAATCATATGGCCTCATGTGCCCCGAGTCTATCATCTATTGACGAATGAGAAGAAATTATGACAGCGATTCAAGATCATCTCTCCTGATTATGGCACCCATAGCTCTGAGGGTCATGGAGCATGTCTCGGTTATTGCAAAACTAAACAGTGTAGAAAACATCCCTTTTAGCCTGAGTGAAATGTGGCCTGATCCTGCTTTTGAGAGCCTCTTCCAGCTCTTGTGAGTCAAAGCAATCAAAAGCCGAAGCAAATGAGAATTCGTTGAAGGGTCCTGATCAGACCGACAGACTGGAATATAAACAAAGTGTTGAAAATATTTACCGTTGACAGTAAGCGTGACCTCCTTCTCTCCCACTCCCACCCGTGGCACCACAGCTCGACATACGTATTTCCCAGCGTCCTCCTGTCTCACTCCCTTAAGTGTCAAGGTGTTCTCGTTGCTTAGCACCTGCAAGGTAACAGATGTTTGAAAAAAAACACAACGATAAGTAAACTTTGTAAAGATTGTGAAAAAGTTTTCTCTTGCTTGCCTTTTTTTTTAAAGCAAATTCATGAAGCAGAACTGCATGTATAATTAACCATCACTGTAGTCACAAATACAGCTTCTTTCTTGTGTTTTGACTTCATCTTGACATGTGAGATCCTAACAGATGACGACCTACACAAACACAATGTGCTCTACATAAGGTCCATTAGCCCTTGAAACTCAACTGTCACAGCTGTTAGCTTCATCAAAAACAGATCAGTCACGTGTGTGTCAGATACATTCATCACGCCCAGATGGAAAACTGAATAAGATTCTATAAGTTAGGGATGTGTTCAATTCAGATTGTAATTAAGAATGCACTTTAAATTCCAATTAAACTCCTGAATTTGATTTGGTGTAACAGAATGCAGATTTGAAATTTGAATTTAAATGTAAGGAAGTAGAATTAAAATTAATTTAGATTAACTAACGGAAATAAGTTTAAGTTGATACCCTAAAATTACTAACTGGAAAGAAATAAAACCTAAAATTTAAATGCCGTTCCAAACGTAGGTTTGGGAGGAGCGTAATCATTCAGTCCTGTCAATCATCATTACGATCCTATTTAAGTAGCACTCATTGCGCCCTCCCAGCGACAGTTCTTCCAGCATCCCTCTACCTCCCCATGTCCTCCTCTATTTCTGTTATTCTCCCTCTATGTAGTACTATGTAGTGGGGGGGTTGAACTCTGAGCTCAAGCCGTGCCTCAGGTTTGAACCTCGACAGAGGACAGCAAGCCACGTTTGTTTACCATTAACCATCAGGCCTGGATGGGCAGGCAAACTCATTAACTAAAATTAAAACTGAAAAAAAAATACATAAAACCTAAACAGCACATAAGAAAAATTAGTAAAACCTATACTAAAATAAATCAAAATTATTATAAAACCTTTAATAGTATTAGTAATAGTAAATTATAACTAGATTGAAAAGTTTGTAGACAAACTTTAAGTTGGCTTAGCCTAGTTAGAAAGTTTTAAAAAGTTTTAAAAGCTTGCAGTCTGAAAGTTTTCAGTTTGAACATTAAACATATTGCTAGGGTACCTGGGATGGTTGCTAGGCTGATTCTAGGATGACTAGCATGTTGCTAACATGTTTTTAGCAGGATTAGCATGTTACTAGCATGATTAACATGTTATTAGCGTGTTGTTAGCATAATTAACAAGTTACTAACATGTTGCTAGCATGATTAGCATTTTACTAGCATGGTGTTAACATTTAGTTAGCATGATTAACAAAAAATTACTATCATGTTTCTAACATGATTACCATGCTACTAATGTTGTTAACATGATTAGCAAGTTTCTAGCATGTTGTTAACCTGATTAGCATGTTACTAGCCTAATACTAGCATGTTGTTAACATGATTCTAATCTGATTAGCAAATTATTAACATGTTGTTAACATTGATTAGCAAATTAGTAGCATGTTGTTAACATGATCAGCATGTTACTAGCATGATTCTAGCATGATTAGCATGTTACTAGCATGATGCTAGCATGTTTCTAGCATTTTTTACAAATTGTTAACATGTTCTTAGCATGATGCTAGCATGTTTCTAACATGTTTAACAAGTTTGTTAGCATTTTGTTAGAATGTTTATCATGTTGCTAGCATGTTTCTAGCATGACTAGCATGGTGTTAGCATGATTAGCAAATTTACTAGCATGTTGTTAACATGATTAGCATGTTACCTGCATTTTGCTAGCATGATTTTAGCATGTTGTTAACATGATTCTAACCTGATTAGCAAGTTACTAACATGTTGTTAGTATTGATTAACAAGTTAGTACCATGTTGTTAACATGATCAGCAAGTTAATAGCATGTTGCTAGCATGATTAGCATTTTATTAGCATTATTCTAGTATGATTAGCATGTTACTAGCATGATTCTAGCATGATTAGCATGTTACTAGCATGTTTCTAGCATTTTTAGCAAATTGCTAGCATGATGTTCGCATTTTGTTCGCATGTAATAAGCTTGATTCTAACATGTTTCTAGCATTACTAACATGGTGTTAGCATTTTGTTAACATGATTAGCAAATTTACTAGCATGTTGCAAGCATGAGTCTAGTATGATTAGCATGTTACTAGCATGATTAGTATGTTACTGACATGATGCTAACATGTTTCTAACATGTTTACCAAGATACTAGCATGTTTCTAACAAGATTAACAAATTACAAGCATTTTGTTAACGTTTCTAGCATGATTAACAATTAATAACATGTTGTTAACATTGATTAATGAGTTAGTAGCATGTTGTTAACATGATTAACAAGTTAATAGCATGATTCTAGCATGATTAACATGTTACTAGCATATTTCTAGCATTATTAGCATTTTACAAGCTTGATGCTAGCATGTTTCTACCATGTTTAACAAGTTGCTAGCATGGTGTTAGAATTTTGTTAGCATGATTCTAGCATGATTAGCATGTGTTTAGCATGTTTAACAAGTTGCTATCATGGTGTTAGAATTTTGTTAGCATGATTAGCATGTTTTTAGCATGTTTAACAAGTTGCTATCATGGTGTTAGAATTTTGTTAGCATGATGCTAGCATGTTTTTAGCATGTTTAACAAGTTGATATCATGGTGTTAGAATTTTGTTAGCATGATTAGCATGTTACTAGCATGATTCTACCATTATTAGCATGATCATAACATTTCTAACATGTTTAACAATTTGCTAACATTTTGTTAGCATGTTTAACAAAATGCTAGCATGTTTCTAGCATGATTAGCATGTTATTAGCATGGGTTGCTATCATGGTGTTAGAATTTTGTTAGCATGATTAGCATGTTACTAGCATGATTCTACCATTATTAGCATGATCATAACATTTCTAACATGTTTAACAATTTGCTAACATTTTGTTAGCATGTTTAACAAAATGCTAGCATGTTTCTAGCATGATTAACATGTTATTAGCATGTTTTTAACATTTTGTTAGCATGATTAACAGGTTTACTTGCATGTTGCTAGCATGATTCTAGCATGATTAGCATGTTACTAGCATTATTCTAGCATGATTAACATGTTACTAACATGATGCTAGCATGTTTAACAAATTACTAGCATGCTTCGAACATGATTAGCAAGTTACAAACATTTTGTTAACATGTTTCTAGTGTGACTAGCAAGTTACTAGCATGATGCTAGCATGTTTCTAACATGTTTAACAAATTGCTAGCATGTTTTTTAACATGATTAGCAAGTTACTATCATGTTGTAAGCATAATGTTTTTAGCATGTTTAACAAGTTGCTATCATGGTGTTAGAATTTTGTTAGCATGATTAGCATGTTACTAGCATGATTCTACCATTATTAGCATGATCATAACATTTCTAACATGTTTAACAATTTGCTAACATTTTGTTAGCATGTTTAACAAAATGCTAGCATGTTTCTAGCATGATTAGCATGTTATTAGCATGGTTTTAACATTTTGTTAGCATGATTAACAGGTTTACTTGCATGTTGCTAGCATGATTCTAGCATGATTAGCATGTTACTAGCATTATTCTAGCATGATTAACATGTTACTAACATGATGCTAGCATGTTTAACAAATTACTAGCATGCTTCGAACATGATTAGCAAGTTACAAACATTTTGTTAACATGTTTCTAGTGTGACTAGCAAGTTACTAGCATGATGCTAGCATGTTTTTAACATGTTTAACAAATTGCTAGCATGTTTTTTAACATGATTAGCAAGTTACTATCATGTTGTAAGCATGATTAGTAAGTTACTAGCATGATTAGCATGTTCCTAAAATGATGCTAGCATGTTTCTAGCATGTTTAACAAGTTAGTAGCATGTTTCTAACATGATTAACAAGTTACTAGCTTGATTAGCATGTTCCTAAAATTATGCTAGCATGTTTCTAGCATGTTTAACAAGTTGGTAGCATGTTTCTAACATGATTAACAAGTTACTAGCATTTTGTTAGCATTTTCTAGCATGATTAGCAAGTTACTAACATGTTGTTAACATGATTAGCAAGTTGTTAGCATGATTAGCAAGCTACTAGCATGTTTAGAAAATTGCTAGCATGTTTATAGCATGACTAGCACGTTACTAGCATGGTATTAGTCTTTTTAACATGATTAGTACATTACTAGCACATTTCTAGTATGATTAACATGTTACTAGCATGTTGTTAGCATGATTAGCAAGTTACTAGCATTTCGTTTGCATGTTTCTAACATGATTAGCAAATTGCTAGCATGTTGTTAGCATGTTTCTATGCTAATCCAGCTAAAACCAGTTGATTCAGTAAAAAAAAAGCTAAAAACAAGCTAAGACCAGCCTGGCCTGCTAAAAAAGTGGCCAGAACCACTTTAAAACCAGCTTGAGAGACCAGCCAAAGTGGTCAATTAGCTTAGGCTGGTTTGAGCAGTTTTTTCGGTAGGGAGTTGTTAAGCTTTGCTATAGCAATAGACAGCTTAAATACACCATACCTCTTATTGTATAAAAGTTTTCACCCCCTCAATGAAAGTCAATGGGATTTTAGGTGGTTTTGATAGTCTGGTTTACGAAAACCGTAAGCCGGATCAGTTAGAAAAGATATAGCAACCCGAGTCAGACCAGTCTGAAGGTCTGACCCGAGTTTGGTGATTGTAGCTTTAAAAGTCTAGGAGGAGATACATTTAAAAATTTGGTCGAAGAAGAAGAAGAAGAAGAAGAAGAAGAAGAAGAAGAAGAAGAAGAAGAAGAAGAAGAAGAAGAAGAAGAAGAAGAAGAAGAAGAAGAAGAAGAAGAAGAAGAAGAAGAAGAAGAAGAAGAAGAAGAAGAAGAAGAAGAAGAAGAAGAAGAAGAAGAAGAAGAAGAAGAAGAAGAAGAAGAAGAAGAAGAAGAAGAAGAAGAAGAAGAAGAAGAAAAAGGTTGGTCCATGTACGTTTTGATAGTTTGTTTTTCTATTTGAAATGAAATAAGCAGAAACGAGAAAATGGTCGGGGATTTTTCATTTTTTCATTTGATTTTGGCTCGATTTTTGTTTTTTTGGTTCACAGGTAGAAAACGGATAAACGACTTCAAAATTAGTTTTCCCCTTGTGGGCGGTCCCTTTCCGCCGATTGGTCAACCAAATCTGAGCCCCTGACGTCATCCTCAATTTGTTTAGCAAAATAATAGTCCTCTGCTGTTGTACGGGGCAGGTCCTAGAACGGGTGCAACCTAGGGCTGGACGATATGGGCAAAATTTATATCACGATATATTTCTTAATTTCGGTCGATACGATATAATTCCGATATCGATATGAACACTATTAAAAAAGCCTCATAAAAACGGCCAAGAACGGCCACAACAGATGTCTGTACCTACAAACTTATGAAAAATTAATTTGCCAACTCTATGAAACATACTCCTATAAAACGATATAATATTTTAGGAAAAAAATGGCACAAATAAATAAATGTTCACCTTTTATTGGTATTTAGCCTTCATACAAACAAGAAATGTGAAATCACTGTCAAATAAATCGCAGACTCTCCTTATTAATATTAATATTTTTTACTTCAAACTATAGGCTAACATACCTGTCAAAAGTTTTTGAACAGTAAGATTTTTAATGTTTTTTAAAGAATTCAAATAGAAAGCAGTTATTTTAAATAGTAAAAATATTTCAAAATGTTACTGCTTTTGGTGCATTTTGGATCAAATAAATGCAGGCTTGGTGAGCAGAAGAGAATTCTTTAAGAAACATTAAAAATCTTGCAGTTCAAAAACCTTTGACTGGTAGTGTAGGCTGATTATTCTTATAGATTGAACCGTGCATTAACCAGGATAATGAGTATGAAACTCTGACTTGCTTCAGAAAACAAAAAAAATAGAGCAACAACAAAAGCATGTTGCTGGAAATGGGTTTATTATTGAAAATGCAAACTGATTGTCTGCCAGCAGGAGGCGCTGTGAGAGCGGTGGAACTAGTGGTTTCTCCAGTAATGGCTGTAAACAAAGCAGCTCCGCTCATGAACGCTACTTTATCAGATAAAAATACCATCTAAACTATTCTGAAAACAGTCGGTTCCCTTCAGAGACACATTCATATAAAACACCCGCGACGCGTTTTGATTTTGAAACGTGCAGTGCTCAACGAAGTCAAACGCCACAAATAAATCAATGTATGGGAAACACTGGTAATGTATATCGAAATATCGGAAATGTGTTATCACCGTTATTGAAAAATCATATCACCGTTATTGAAAAAAATTATATCGCGATACATATTGATATTGAATTATCGTCCAGCCCTAGTGCAACCTAAAGCGTTTCACAGAAATATTTATTTCAGAAATTGTAATCAGCACCCAGCCTGTTTTATTTAGCTGTGCGCGTAGTTAAATCTGTATGGTGAAGCTGCACTACCCATAGACAGCGCAGATCGGATGAGAAGCACAGATAAAAAATAAATAAAAAAATAGATGTGGGGGGTGGGGTGGGGGGGGGGGGGGTTCCCCCAGATATTATTTTACGAAAAATAATGATGACAAATCTGATTAAGCTCACGCGGTTGATACAGTACATTTTGTTAGTTAATAGTCATTCATGTGACTGAAGTATGTTTTTTTCCCGAATAAAACAGGAAAAAAACTAATACGAAAATTATAAATAAAATAATTTGATATAGCCTACAATTTAATAACATATAGCCTAGCCTAGTATTATATATGAATAGGATTTCCAATGTAATTATATGAATAAGTTTCCAATGTATGTAGGTAAACTACAAAAGCTCCGACATGGAGTGTATAAATATAGTAGAAAGATAGAAAAAGAGAAAATTACCCATCAAAAAAGTCAGTAGCATAAGAAGCTTTCTTTTTCAGACTCTTTTTTTTCCGCTTAGCTTCACCGGAGCAGCACAAAACATGCAGCCTAAACAATGTCATATGCGCTTAGCGGTCTATAGATGTTGTAGTAGAGGCATTTACATTTTGACAGCCTAAAAACAGACTTCAGTCACATGTATGACTGTAAATAATGAATTAACGAAATGTACCATATTCTAACTGCGTGAGCTTAAACAGATTTAAACAGATTTAAGAGGACTATTATTTTGCTAAACGAACTGAGGATTACGTCACAGGCTCAGATCTGGTTGACCAATCGGCGGAAAGGGGCGTGTTAGGACCGCCCACAAGGGGAAAAACGAATTTTTAAGTAGTTTATCCGTTTTCTATAAAATCTCTTTGTTTCCGTTTTTTTTTTAACAAATGAAAAAACGAAAACATGACTGTTTTCTTGTTTCTGCTTATTTCACTTCAGATTGGAAAACAAACTATCAAAACGTATACGGACCAAGTTTAAATAGGATTTCAGTAAGTTGGCTTTTTCAAGCCAACTTAATAAAACCTATAGTGTAATAGTGTCTAGATAGATAGATAGATATTTCATCATAATAAATGAATTAACTTTTGTGGACACTTACACTTATTACAATGCAGTATATTCCACTTACTATCCACCTTTTTCCTGAATGTATTTTCTGAGCTAATAATGTAACATTAAACCTATGAAAATTGTTTAAAAAAGCACATGGCTCCATAGATCCACCACTTACAGTGTCGTAATGACCGTCTTTTTGCACTGACTCGCCTGTCATAGTTTAATGAGTGGGTAGATGACATGAAATGGCCCGTGTTTAGCTGCACTGAAAACAGATGAGCGCTCATATCTAACATACAGATCCTGTTGCCAAGCCATGCTTGTTTCTCTTGTCAGTCTTTGTCATAGAATGCAAGGTACTTTAAAGGAATTCCTTAAGTTTATTGCTTTTACTGAGACCAAAACATGACAGCATCCAAACAGAAGTTAGAATCCATCATGGCGGGACTCAACAGTTACTCAAGAAAAAGGTGGATAATTCCAATTTAACTTCCTGTGGAGTACTGCCAACTCAGGAACTGAAAGCGAGCCAATTTTTGCACATCCCTGTTATAGGTTTTCTGAGTAATACAGAGTAAATTACGTACGACTCCATGGCCCCTTTTCATCCAGACAATGGTGAGCGAAGGGTTTCCAGTCCAAGCGCAACTGAACACGGCATCTGATCCCCGATCCACCTGGTGGCTCTGGGGTTCAGCGGCCAGACGGGGTCCGACTATAACACAAATACATACACATATTCATTCACTTTTGCTGTATGCAAAAGAACAATCATGGAAGAAAGTCATGTTACTCAAGAAATAGGTGGAAGGTGGTCACCATCAAATTTAACTGAACTTGAGAGGTTCTACAAAGAAGAGTGGGCAAATATTGCAAAGACTAGATGTGCAAAGTTAGTAGAGACATATCCCAACAGACTAAAGGCTGTAATTAAAGAAAAAGGTGGTTCAACAAAATACTGATCCTTTTTCCAACTCAGTGATTCTGTTGTTTTATTGTATTTTTTTCGGACATGTTGGTGTTATATCTTTCACTTGGATGTTATAAGTTGCATTGAGTAAATACATCTGGATAAAACAAAAACTGTGTCCGTCTTCATTACAGGCTGCAATGCAACAACATGTGATTATTTTAAAGGGGTGTGATTCTTTTCTATACCCACTGTATATGTAGCAGTTAAACTCACAGTAAACATCCACGTTACGGCTGATGTTGGTGCTGCCCAGGGCATTGGTGACCTCACAGGATACTGGCTCGGTGAAGAAGGAATGATCAACCAGCACCTCATAAGTGTCTCCCGTTGCATCTGTGATCATGTTTCCCCCCTTCGCCCATCTAATTATCCATAAAAGACAAAAACAGAGCAGGAAAATTGAACAACCCTGATGGACACAGCCAAGGTTTTTTCCCCCCAGATCTGCTCTAAAGATCAAAGGCGACAAGAAAGGTATTTTTTCATGGGCAAATGACTGAAATCATGTCGTATTTGCATGGTGTACTGAAACAACAAAAGCATTCTTCAGAGTGTCTAACGTAATTTTCAGGACACCACATGTGTTTTTTTATTTTTTTTTATTTGGGCCTTTTCATTTTCGTGCTGTCGGCAGGCCGTGTCTTCTTTGGCGGAAGAATAACAGGAACACATTAAGAGGTTTTTAGATGCTGCCTCTATCACTGGCACCCTTTGATGCTGCAGTCATTATAGTGAAATGTGAAGAGGAAAGCGAGAAAATACGGACAACACAAGCGAATGCTGCTGCTCCAGATTCAGACGGGAAGATCAAGCACTAAGCAGATGGACTTTTGTTTGCATCTGTGAAGTTAAAGTGGACAGTGTTACAGAAATAAAAAGAATTTGGTGTAATGAATGTACTCGACACAACTTTTTTTCATGTTTGGCCTTTACATCAGTTTTATTGGCAGTTGATGGAGCGTAACAAAAAGTTAATTTTTTTCTGCTGAACAAAAACATTTGTGCAAATTTTGCCATGTCTTGGCAACATTTTAAAATGAGGTGTCAAAAGCAAGGTACATCTTTATTATCATTATAAAATCTTATTTACAATAAATTTACAACAAAATAACATTATATATATATATATATATATATATATATATATATATATATATATATATATATACACTGAACAAAATTATAAACGCACC